CTGCCCCCAGAGCGAAAGGCGACGTTCTGGATCTGTCCTTCCCGCCCTGGCGACGGCGGGTAATCTTTATTTGTGGGGCAGAAGGTACTAGGTGCCGTTTTCCTCTCTTCTGGGACTCCGGTTCCCCCACGGGCCTGAGCACACGCGTGAGGGGTTCCCGTGGACGGCCGTGTAAAGGCACCGGACAGCCTGCTGCGGGGAGGGGCCAGGGGAGAAGCCCCCCCTTGAGGCGGGAAGGTGGCTGAGAAAGGAGTCAGCGGCTGCTCCCCGCTGGCCCAGGCGGCCCCTCGGGAGGGGCGCCCGATCGGGTGGCTTCAGCAGCACTCTCCGCTGACTCGGACCTTGAACCCCTGCAGCCGATGCTCCCGGGACACGCCGGCAGGGTGGCTGCCGTGAGAAGCCTCATTTTATTAAACTTTAATCAAGCTCTCCGGTGACGTGCTGCATAAATTCAATTTCGGATTTTGAATACGAAATAATCAGATGAGAGTGAAGCGCCGCTGACATAAAATGTTCTTTAAAATGAAAATGATACTTTTAATTTAATCACCCGAAACTCAGCTGGGGGAGACACATCTAAGTGGCAGAAAGATTGATGTGTTTTCTTGCCAAGACCTCCGAACGCCCACCATCTACGTGGGTTTGCGAACTGACTTCTAATTCCTTGAATGTTTTCTCTCCGTTAAGCATGGACCCTGACATCCTCTAAAATCAGTCTAAAAACTCACCTCCTGTGGAAATGTATCCGCTTGGTGTTGAGGAATATTACGTATACAGCTTACGTTCCTTTGCACGTGATCCTTGGAAACGCCGGCTGTGGTCAGGAGCGTGGGTCCGGGCTCATCTGCAGGCCTGAGGTCCGGTTCCAAGGTCTGCAATCAGCTCACCTCCCTGAGCCTGAGGTTCCTTACCTGTGAAGTGTGGGCATGGAGCTCAGTGGCCCCCCACATGTATGAACTGTTAAAGTTTGATATTCGTCTCTTCCACTGGGTTATGAATCCCCCCGGAACAGGGGTTGTGCCGTCAGCCTCTTAAGGGGGACGTTCACCCCCACCCCAGGCTGCCTGGCGCTCTGCACGGGCCCCCAGGGGGTACCCTGCCAGTGCCGACTGCCGGGCGGATCTGACAGCACCGGAGGCGGCCAGGAGGTGGCACTTTGGTGTTTTCTGCAATTGGAGACGAAACTACGGAATGAGAAATCGCTCGGGTTTTTGCTTTACTGACCAAAATGAGTATCTAGGGATCACAACAATCAAGGAGCTGTGTTTTTTATATTTACATGTAATAAATAAGATTGGCTGTTGGTCGCGGTGACAGGGCGCAGGTTCATGGCTCTTAACACATGCGTGGATGTGTGCAGCCACCACCACAGTGAGGATACAGAGTCGTCCATCGCCCCCAGAACTCCCTCGTATCTGACTCCGCCTGATCCCAAACCCTGACCACCACCGATCTGTTTTCCACCCCTAGCGTTCTGTCTTGTGGAGACCGTCACTTAAATGGAGTCACGCGGTAGGCCACCTTCTGAGACGGACTGCTTCACTCAGCGTAATGTCTTTGAAATATACCCACGTTATTGAGATCAGTAATCTGTATCATTAATTGATTCCTTTTTATCGCTGAGTAGCATTCCAGTGTACAGATGTATCAGTGGACGTTGTAAAGATGTATCAGTGGACGTTGTAAAGATGTATCGGTGGACGTTGTAAAGATGTATCGGTGGACGTTGTAAAGATGTATCGGTGGACGTTGTAAAGATGTATCGGTGGACGTTGTAAAGATGTATCGGTGGACGTTGTAAAGATGTATCGGTGGACGTTGTAAAGATGTATCGGTGGACGTTGTAAAGATGTATCGGTGGACGTTGTAAAGATGTATCGGTGGACGTTGTAAAGATGTATCAGTGGACGTTAAAGATGTTTCTCCATTCACCTGTTGATGGATATTTCTGTATCCAGTTTTTGGAGGTTATGAATAGAGCTGCTATTACCATTCATGTATCGTAAGGTTTTGTGGGAACATAAGGTTTTATTTCTTGAGGGTCGATGCCTAGGAGTGGGATGGCGGGGTCGTGTGGTAATTCCGTGTTTAACTTTCTGAGTAATGGCCAAACTGGTTTCCCGGTGGCTGTGCCGCTTTCCATTCCCAGCAACAGTGTCTGCGAGTTGTAGTGGTTCTGCACCCTCGCCAGCGTTTGGTATTGTCACTTTCTTGTGGTTGCTGTTTCATTTTGTTTGTTGCCACTTGGGCCATTTCTGATAGGCCGTGATCGTATCTCAGTGTAGTTAGAGTTTGCGTTTCCCTAACGGCTGGCGTGGCGTTAGCCGCGGGGCTTTTTGTAGATGTCGTTGATCAGACTGAGTCTTCTTCCGGGGCTGGTTTGCCGAGAGCTTTTTTACCGTGAATGGGTGTTGACTGAGGGCCTTTCCCGCATCGCTTGATATGATCACGTGACTTTCTTTTTTATTCTCTTGCTCTGATGGATTCCACTGATTGATTTTTGAGTACTGAACTAGCTTTGCATTTCTTAGATAATGCCACTTGGTCATGGGTTGTTGTTTCCATGTATTGTGGGATTCGACTTGCTATTATTTGACTGGCCGTTCTTACATCTGTGCTCAGGGAGGATATTGGAGATTGGTTTGTGGTTTTCTTTGCTTGTTATTGCCTTTGTCCGTTTTTGGTAGCAGGATAATGCGGTCCTCATCGATCAATTACAAAGCATTCCCTTCCCTTCAGTTTTTAAAAGATAGGGAGAATTGGTGTTATTTCTTCGCTCAGTGTTTGGCCAACCTGGCTGGGTGGCTTGGTTGGTTGGAGCGTCTTCCCGAACCCCAGAAAGGCTGCGGGTTTGATTCCTGGTCTAGGCTCGATCCCCAGTCAGGGTGCGTACAAGAGGCAACCAATCGATGTTTCTCTCACATCGGTGTTTCTCTCTCTCTTTAAAAATCAATAGAATAAATAAATATTGAAAATATAAATGTTTGGTCGAATTCACCAGTGAAATCATCTGAGCCTGGAGTTTTCGTTTTCTAAAGATTTTTAACTACACATTTCATTTCTTTAATAGATATAGGTATTCAGGCTATCTATTTCTTTTTGGGAGAGTCTTGGTACTTTGTGGCTTTTAGGGAATTATTTGGTTTTGTCTAAGTTGTTGAATTTATGTGCAAAGAGTTTTTGAAAATATTCCCTTATTATTATTTTATGTTTGTGTGGTCTGTAGTGATGTCCCCTCTTCCGTTCGTCATATGGGTAATTAGATCTTCTCTCTATATCCTTTCAGACTAGGGGTTTAGCAATTTTATTGATCTTTTGAAAGAATCAGCTCTTTGTTTCATTGATTTTTTTTTTCCTATTGTTTTTCTGTTTTCAGTTATATTAATTTTTATTTCATATTATTTCCTTCCATCTTGCTTGTTCCACGAAACATGATAAAAATTAAAGTCATCCGGGATCCTGAGGAAAAAATTGTATGGTTAAATTACAAGGTCTATTTTTTAATCTATTCCTTTGAGAACCAACCTAATCATTTTCCATATTTGTCTCTTGGCAGTTGACTGGCCTGAGCGTCTCCAACGGCAAGGACCAGCTTGTGGTGTTCCACACAAAGGACAACAAAGACCTCATCGTCTGCCTCTTCAGCAAGCAGCCGACCCACGAGAACCGAATCGGGGAACTCGTTGGAGTCCTGGTGAATCATTTCAAGAGGTAAAGTTTGATTTTTGTAACTAAGACAAGTTTTAAACACACGAACTCTTTCGTCGTAATTCTCGCTGAACTCGTTTTGTGCCAATTTTCGTGCGTGGAGTTATTTTCCTTCGTAAGGGCAACTGAAATCGTCGGTTTCACAGAAGGCAAAATTAGCACCCAGGCTTAGGAATGATCCCCTGCTGTCCCAGCCTCCGGCTGAACCAGCAGGGACAGTTCCCTAACGGTGAATCCTTCACTATCCCTCGAAATGTACTTGCATCNAGAGTTCCCTAACGGTGAATCCTTCACTGCCCCTCCAAATGTATTTGCATCGAGAAGACAGAAAGATTACTTTTTGTCACAGCTTCTCGTTTACCCCAAGTATGGGCCTTGAGTGTGCGTAGAGGGACCTGCAGGTCCGAGAGGCGGCCACCTCTGNTTCCCTAACGGTGAATCCTTCACTATCCCTCGAAATGTACTTGCATCGAAAAGACAGAAAAATTACTTTTTGTCACAGCTTCTCGTTTACCCCAAGTATGGTCCTTGAGTGTGCGTAGAGGGACCTGCAGGTCCGAGAGGCGGCCACCTCTGCGTGTGATGGAGCACGGCCCATTCTGAGAGTGTCACAGTAAGCGTGCATGCTCCCTGGGGGGGTGCTGTGAGCAAGGACATGGGAAATATAAACAGGGAGCAGATCCTGAGGGCGATGGGACCAGGGAGTGGGTAATTTCAAGCAGGGGAGTGATGTTGTCTGGTTATTTACCGGAGTTGTTGTAGAGGTGTTGTTCTTCCCACAGGAGGTCACGGGCTATTTAGGGTGGGGTGTTTCTCCGACTCCAAAGTCAGGCGTTCTTCCCCCGATGGCAGACGGTCTCTGCCTCCCGTCACCCTGATGCGGGGAGGCCACTCCTCAGGACTCGGTGACCGAGAGATGAGCCCAGCGTCCGGTTCCTTTTCTTCCTAAAACACATTTCCTGAGTTGCCGGGAGTAACCGAGTATGGAGTATACTTTTAGAAGCGGGCCGCACAGACCGTTTNTGGTTCCTTTTCTTCCTAAAACACGTTTCCTAAGTTGCCGGGAGTAACCGAGTATGGCGTATACTTTTAGAAGCGGGCCGCACAGACCGTTTATTTTACGTATTAAGCCTTGTCATCTAGATCAAAATAGATCTTTAAATATCTTATATAGTTAAATGCTTTTAACCGCTATAAATGAAATAACATTTAATGATTATCTGGTGGAAAATATAAGAATCTAAATAAGGAAATACCAAAAAATAACGATACACATATGCGCCTTTGAAAGACTCTCTTTCATCTGCCAAAAAGCTAAAGCTAAGAGGGACACTGAAGGGTTTAGGATGGAGGAGGGACATGGAGAAGGCCTCTCGACAATAAAATTTATAACTCAAATAAGCAGGCTCAGTTTTCCTCCTAATATTTAGTTATGGCGAAATATGGGCAGTTAAAGGGATTTTCCTTTGGATGCCTGTACTAATAAGTAGTTTTGCCTGGGAAACAGGAGTATTTTTTCTCAATCTAGCTCTCATTTAGCAAATTCCAGCCCCTTACATGCCTCTACATGTTACACGGGAACCTGGTCCTCGAGTCTGCCGTCGCTTCCCTTCCCCAGCACACGCGTTCTCAGATGCGTTTCTAGTTGCGTTCCCTCGAATCTTGAACACAGGGTGGGGCAAAAGCAGGTCTGCCATCGTTCACCTGGAAAACAATACAATAGTAAGTAATAATGCGAGAATGAACTCTGCGTTTCACGTACTCGCAACTGGAAACCTCCTTTTGCCCCACCCTGTATATGTCAGATTTTCTAGTGTCTTTAAAATTTATAAATGGAAGAAAGAGGAGAATCTAGCTGTTGAATTGTGAGGTGTGTGTTTTTTGTAGTTTGTTCTTGATATCCCTCCCTTGAATTAAGAGGTCAAGGACCAATAAGAGATAAAACCCCTCCTTCCTACCCTCCGAAAATTCAGGCTTGGTATTTCGACTTAAGAGTCATTGTCATCGACGTGCTGTTGACTTCTCGCGGAAAGGGTCGTTTGATTTTTTTTTCTAGTTATTTTCCTTTATTGTCGAATCTCCTATCGTCGGTGTGACTCTGAGAAGCGGATTGTGCTTTACAAGCGTAGCAAGGCGGCACAGAGTCATATCTCTCCGTGGGTTAATCATGGTGAGAGGGATTTAAGCCCAGATCAGTCCTTTATCTTCCAGATGATTTCCTTTAAAGTACATTCTAAGAAGTTCTCTAGTTAGAAATTGGGAGGAAAGGGCTCAGAGTAACAAAACATACTGTTGATAGAATGGATGTGAACAGGAGTCATCGTCTTGAAAAATTATAAAGAAAAAGTAGGACATTCAGTCTATGAGCAAACTTCCTGCCGAGTTTCAGAGAGAAGAGAGAGACATAAAAAGTGTTGAAAGCGAGTATGAATCTCATTATATGAGGGCCAGCACAACACTACATCCAAAACAGGTAAGGATAATGTAAGAGAAGAAAATTAGAGCCCAGTCTCATGTCAGTGCGGAGATTTTTTTTTTTTAATCCTAAGTAAAATGCCTCAAAATGGGATCCAAGAGTTTTTTAAAATAATAATGCGTCGTGACCAATGAGGCTGTGCCCTGAGAAAGAAGGATGGTTATCCATTAGAAAGGTCTATTCGTATATAATAGTCCTTGGAAGAAGACAGAAATACTATCCGATAAAATTTAATACTTATTCCTAATAAGTAAACACATTTAGGATATGTTAATGAAGTTAAACAGGTTTCTTTACTGCAGTACTTCTCAGAGCCTTTAATAGGTCTTTGTTCATTTTAAATATAACCATAAGGGTATGTTACGTGTATGTATATATATGCACACACAACACACGCACATGACTGTGTATATTATAGACTATTTCTGGGAAAATACGCAAGAAATGGGTAACAATGTCTCTGGAGAGGGACTGGGGAGATGTGGTACTTGAAGAAAGAGGTAGGAGGGAGATTCATTTATTTTTCACTGTCAATGTTTTGCAGTAAATAGATGTGACTTATCTAAATTTTTTTTTTTTCATTTTAACAATAAACAAATGGCAGCTAGTGTTCAGGCATGTTGTAGGTGGCTTTAAAGTCATGGTTATTTTGCTTTCCTGTTTGGAAGAGTAGTAAAGAACAAAAGCGCTTTCTAAGTGGCGGACCCGTTGCATGGCGTTTGAATACCTTGGATTAAAGCCAAGCAGAGCCTCTCGGAATAGCCCTGTTCCCTGCGGTCCCTCAGTGGCCCCTTCCTGGGGTTGCGCCGGCGGTGCCCAGGCCAGCGCGCCTTGCCGAGGCTCTGAAACGCCGGCTCGCCGTTCGTACCCCACCCTCCGCAGCGACTGCCTGCGGGTCCTGAGCTTTTCTGCCCCCTGGCAAACAGGTGGCCTGACGTCGGCTGCCCCAACTCCGGAGCCACCAGAAACCCTGCGATATTCAGCTGTCAAAGGCCCCATCTGCCCTGGGCAGCTGCCCAGGCCTTTCCCTGCCTGGACGCTGGAAACCTCAGCATAACCCCCATCTCGGGCAGAGGAATTTATTCTTCCTGTTCTGTTTCTGTGGATGAAAGCCAGAAGTCAGTGCCATCTGCTGCTTGTTTTTCGTACGCAGTATCCTGAATATCTGCTTCACTAAAGGAGCCCCGTGACTTAGTTAAACTGAACACGTGACCTGTTTCCTCGGCTGTAGTTTGCTTATGTGCCTTTAACTCAAACTTAAAACCACGGGTAGACGTCGATCTCTGAGCGGGCCGTTGGTTGCAGCCGAGAGAATGCAGGGGTCGGGGGAATGAGGCCTCCCAGCCAGCGGGGGAGGACGCAGAGGAGGGGGGCCACTTCCCAAAACGGCCTCTGCCCCGGCCCTCCCTGCCCTGCACCGCCTGCCTGCTGCCGCCGCATGGGCCTCCCGCTCCTCTGTCCCTGGCCCGGAATGCGTGTTTTCACGGCCCTCGATCTCTCTTCCCAAACTGCTTTCCTTGAATGCCTGGCTACAAATCATAGGAGCCCAAATTCCAGCTAAAAATATATTGGTAAAATAATGATAGCTGAAAATAATGGAGCTAGCCAGCTATAGCGGTTTGGTTAGTTAAGTTATGGTCCGTCTCCTTAATGGGGTCTTTGAACCATTTACGCTTATAATTATTATGTAATTATTGGCTTATGGCGGCAGCAAGTCAACTCCCTCTGCCTTCCAATAGAAGGTACACGTGAAAACAGGAGGAGGTGCCAGCCTTTCGTAGTGCTGGAAACCACAGATGTTACTCAACCAGAGGTCCACTGGGAGGACGCCCGTCACCTCTGCTCACATGTCCCCTCACCCGGCCACCCCTGTGTGTCCTGTAGAGAACAGCAGTTCACGCCCCAGCACCCCCGGCCCCCCCCC